TAACATAGAACTTGATGAAAGGATATATTGCTCACGAGCGCGGTATTGTGGTGCTCAGCAAAAATGGTGCTTTCCCCGGGACGGGTGTGTGAGTCATGGGGTGAACGGATCCACGGGGACAGGGCACTGATCTTTGGGTCCCACGCCGAAAGCAGTGTGGCATGGGGATAATTTTCGGAATTGGGTCTGCCTTGCATCTTAGACGTTGCATTTCAAATGCACGAATCTGGTGTCATTGTAGAGGGGGGTGGGGAGGGTGTTTAGATCCCGTCATTCCACACCATCCTGCAACCGAGATATCAAATAAGAAGAACTTCCTTCGGGTGAGCTGCAACAATTTGATTCGTTCATACATCGGCGTGCTTCTACACCTACTCTTGCTTTTTAGGCTGCAGACGTCCGGACGTTTGCCTCAGAATAACAATGTGCATTATCGCCAACTCAGTCTGTCCATCCGATACATCAAAACACCCGACAACCAGTCGAGAGATTTCGTGCCCCATCTCAAAGAAAGGTGAATAGACCAGGAAACGCCGCGTCTAACTCCAAACAGGCAACCGCAAGTCACGAATTAGTTATTCTGTGATTGAATACATTCCCTTCGTTACAAGATGACCATCTCCACTTTTCTCGGGTCCCAGCCGTTCGGTAGCATCCAAGTGCAGGGGGGGAGGAAAACTCCATCCCGGTACCGAACCCCGGGGAAAGTGTTCCCGGCGCCGCAATCAGTGTAAATGACAACAAATGGAAGGAAAGAAAATAGTCGGGCGATAATTGAGAACTACAAACGAGTGCAAATCCTAGTTTGATCGCCTTTAGCTTTGGGGTGCTGGAGCGAATGAGTCACACTTGGTTTGATATCCCTGGTTCCCACGGTACACGGACCATTTAGAGGAAGGGGGGGTACGCAAGGCTTCTCCATACAAGTATGTAGACGACGCATAGGATGTACTTTTCCATTCACGGTACGCTATCGGTACTTCTGTGCATGTCGTAGTCAAAAAACTATATGCAACCACTTTAACGTTTTCTTTTCCACTCCACCCTTATGCAATCTACTCTTGACTAACTCATGTCCTAGCCAGGTTGGCGTCAGGGGTGGGAAGAGAAGCGAAAGCCACGACAGTGGCGGGTCCTTCTGGATCTCTCGAAGTGAACCCATTGACGAATCAAGTAGGGATTGTGGTGTGCTGCGGTTCTCAAATGTTCTGTTCATTTGCCACTCCCATTGTACGGCTTTTCCGCCAGCAGCCAGGCTAATGTTTCATGGGTACGAATGATACGACAAGGCTCGTGTTGCTCCTATGCGCTATGTAGATAGATCTAGTAGGGGCATTAAGATGGTCTCCTGAGTTTAGCATAATTTTAAGTTACCATCTTGTTGTTATTATTTCCAGAACATCCACAAGAGTTTATGGCCAAGTCTCGAAATCGACCACTATTGAGGATTGAACGCATGGTTAACTTAGAGTTATTAGCTTGTAAGTATATACAAGAACGTTTTATTTGCAGATTAAGCCCGCTAATTATCTTATTTTCTGTAACATGTTTAAAGAAGTCCCCATTATTCATTGCATGAGGTCCAATCTGAAGTACTGTCCATCGACGATGCTGGGACGTGTAATGTTACAAATTTCTCCAACCATCATTCTCCAGGTAATTTTCATTTCAGTGAAATCTCTGCTCTTGTCTCGTAACCCGCCTAGATCTCTCAAAAAACAAACACGGCGGATCTTAAAGGAAATCGCCAACTTCTGGAAATTGAAACACGTTGGTGTGTAGGTGACAAGAGAAACAAAGGTTGAAGGTGGCAACCTTCAACGTGACGTATTCCGTAAGAACAATAATGATACAAGGGCATCAGATGAAAACATAAACCAGTAACTCGACTTGAAAAAGAGGAACCGGAACGCCATCCTTCGCCAAGAAATGAGATTGTTTTTTTTTTTTTTGAGCCTTAAGTGATTGATACCCAAATCTTTCGTTTCAAGGGAAAACAGGGACAGAGTGGGAAGATGTAAGATCATAAAGGTCAAGAACACGACGAGAGGTCTATGTTCTATGATGACTGTGGCGAGTGCTGGAAAATGTATATTTTGACAGCACAAACTGTCAACCCTCATAACCTGATGAGGTTGATTACCTAGAAAAAGTGACGATTGCTGCGCGGGGTATTGCTAAAACTCGATGTAAGCCAAGAGTCCGTTGAAAATAGTTCTTTAGATAGCTTACTTGACACTAGAAATGTCGTCAACATGATTGCAAAGCGCGACAAAAAGGTCAAAGAACAGTTGTGTGCCACCATTGTACATTTCAAGCTGCATGGTGCCGCTTCGCTTGAAAGTACTACGACTCCGGATGATGAGAGCAAGATAGTGGGCCCTCAGCTTTGAATCTGTATCGGGTGTGTTGGAGTATGCGTAGCGAGCCGATGCCAAAATCGTGCTGCATTGAATGCCAGATTCTACGCAGTGATTAGTGGTTAGCAATAGAGAGGACGGCATGAAGTTGGGATGTTAAACTTACGAAGGCCTTGTTTACGTAAAGCGACTCGTTTGAGTTCCTCCAACCCGTATCTTTCGGCAGCACAATAGATTACTGTGTCTTTTAGGAGATCGCCATCGGTGGCATGATGATAAATAGTTGACTCGAGACCGCTACGTCCCTCCTCTGGCTGCTCGATCTCCCATGAATTTCGCTTCTTGTTATGAATCAAGCGCGGATAGTAGTCTCCTTTGTACATGTACTCTAAGATAGAGGAAAATATTTCTGGCTCTTCATCCGGTAGATGTATGCGCTTATTGTTGGACGAGTCGACATCCATATACAGGGAAGACAGGTTCGATTGGAACCAGGGAGAAACGGACAGAACATCTTCATGAGCAGCAAAGATGCGTTGTTCTTTGCCGATGATAAGGGTGACGATCGAGGGCGTTAAGGTGCTGAGCGAAGCGAGATGTTAGCATTGTGCCATCGGAGACATTTGTAAGATGGATTATATAGTTTACTTTGATGGAGACGTTGCCGGGTCATTTGCCGTCGTCGCCGTGCTCGGGCGACGACGTGATTCGTGGCGACTTTTCGAGACACCAGCATGACTTTTGCTGAATGAAGAGCTAGACTTGGTGACTTTATGACTTTTTGAGAAGCTCCTGTTTGATGACGGTGGAGGTTCATATCGTCGGCTGAACATTTTATGGGTTGAGCTAAGCGAACGATGCTTGGGCAACAAAGGCAGCAAAGCCCGCTACAGGAGCGACGCAGTAGATTGAGAGAAATAAATATTGGCTCCCTGTGATAAGGCGAATTGATTGTTGCGACTCAATTATGGTTGGTAATTTTGATGGAGCGATGAGTGGAAAGACAAGAACCAAGTTTAAAAGAACCCCAAAAAATAACGACAAGATTTTTATCTGTCTGCCTACCTGAACGTACTACGAGAAACACGAATATTTACAGGAGAAGAATTGGATGGGCCATGCCACCCTTAAGTACTCTCAGACCCATGCCGGCTGCGAGTGTGCCTACTTTCCCCAAGGCAACACGCCTAGGCTGTGATAACTTAGTGACTTGACGCGGCATGGTAGTCCCGCTCCCCAGGCAATTTACACCAAGCGCACACGTACTCACGTGATAATCCCTTTAACTAAATAGGACTAGCGTTAGCCACTCCTTGCTCTTTCGGAGTTTGCGGCCCAATTTATGTGCTGATAAGCGGGTTTACCACCCAGTCAGGTTCAGCAGGGGCTGGGGAGGCAATCCCAGTGTGGCAGGGATATCCGCCTAAGATGAGGCGGCCGGGCCTGTTGCCATCGACCCAGATAAGTTAGCGTGTGTTCATGCTTGCTTGCTCGGTCGTTACGAATCAACGGACCGAGTCAAGATGAATATTATTTATGAGAGGTTGGTCGATAAGATGTGACGGAGTGGCTAAGCAGTTACACATGATGAGAGTCCGCCCGCAAGAAGCGGAGCCTAAAATAGTACCATTTACGTATTTGCAAATCATCTGCGCACCTCGCGTTATAGAGATCAGAGGTATGCTGCTAGTACAATGGAGAAAGAATGGCCAGTCTACTCCGTAGAGACTGTCAGGAACAGTCAATACAAGGGTGAGGTAATGGGAATTAAGCAGAACTAAAAAGGCAGTCGATGCAATTGATTCGCGGTATTGCGCTGATCCATTATAAGCCTGGGGGCTCAGCTTCACAGGAGACTCGAACCCAAGTTAAGACCCTAGAACTCCTGACTATCCAGCACGACTGATTTCTGCCAGGGTTCCTATCAGCTTGTCGAGTTTGCAGTGCTCAAGTTCACTAATTGCTTAGCAGACTTTCGGGTGAAACTAAAAAGGAAAAACCTTTGCAGCGGGGGTTCCAGACGTTCATGTCAGGGATTGCTGTTTCACTTCATTTAGCCAACCCGATCTGTTGTTTAGCTATGCGAGTTGGCCGGCTTTTTTTTCTTATTTTCTTTGCGCTCTTGTTACTTCAATTGTTGGTACTCCACAGTACAATACACCTCTTTAGCTATTTTGGTGCTCAAGCGTGACTAAGAACTCTCGGCAATTGTTTGCAACGCTATTGGAGGAAATGAACAGTTTCAGGAACCTAAGTACCCCACCCCCTTTCAAAGTACGTGAAACCGCAAAAATTCATAGGCTCTTTGGTGCAAAGGCACCTAGCCTCGTTGTACGGCATCTATATTTAGTTAAAGTGCCATCCCCACAACCAAGGATCGATAGCTCAGTGGTAGAGCGAGGGATTGCAGTTACCCATACTCAAGTATCCCTAGGTCGCGTGTTCGATCCACGCTCGGTCCTGAACTTTTTGTCCTCGTTTTCTTTGCTCTGCGAAGACACCTCGGACTATTGTTCACCTTCCATTCTGCCCTTTTTTTTTTTTTTTTTAAATCAGAATTTTCAAACATGATTCTGATTATCTACTACCATTGGCTCATCACATAAAAGACGTGTTAACGTCCCCGCTTACTAAGAAATAGGATCGATAGCTCAGTGGTAGAGCGAGGGATTGCAGTGCTTCAATGCAAGTTATCCCTAGGTCGCGTGTTCGATCCACGCTCGGTCCTGCTTTTTGCTGCTTTATGCTGCTTTTTGCTCCTCAGCTCTGAGGCGCAAACTGCTAGTTTAATGTGAATTTACGTTGTTCCTTGTATCAAGTATAATGTGGCTGTGAATGACTATTCGTGACCTTCTATAAAGATCGCCTACAAGCTGCAATACTGTATGAATGACTAGTTAGTATTTCTCTGAGGTCACGACTCGGTTTTTAAAGCATGTATGTATGTATATACGTTAGCTCTTTATCTAATGTCTTAACCTTCCAACTCATTTCTAACTAGTCAAGACTTATCCATAATCTATAAAAGCACCTAGGTATTTATTCTGGCAAATTCAGCAAGACCAGTTACATCTCTCCGATAGTATTTGCGCATGTCAATGATACGCTAAATTAGTCCGGATGAGCGAACCTCTTCGATGCCGTCCAAGTCCCGTCCCAACTCGACTGACCTTAGTCTGACAACTTAAATAAGCCTTGAGTACACCAACATTAAACAGTTCTATTTGATTGGTGGATGCAAAGGCACCATCCTCCATATATGCTAATCACATACCTTCTTTGGCATTATTCAAAAAAGGAACTCATTTTTCTCTTGAGCCCTGAACAATTCATCTGCAAAAACGTTACTACGTCGCTCTACAAGCTTCCACATAGGGGCTTGGCCAGGGTGGACCCAGAATACGACGTAGCGGACGATGGGTGTTGCAAGCCTGCAAATATTCATATCGTCGCGTTCTCCGGGCAGTGGAGTTCTTTAATCCTCGCGAGGGTCATCTCGGAGTGAATTGCAAAACAGAGGACGGCATAGTGCTGGTTATTCCAATGTGGCATGTAGAGGTACTCGTGAGACAGGCAACTGTGATTCTCGGCATATTTGTAAGTTCCATGGTCAGTACATGTAGATATACATTCGCCCGATTCAAAAATTCACCAGTATATTGATATCTCGACAAGTTATTCTATGAATGTAATCATCGCTAGGGTGGCCAGCCTCGAGACCTTGACGAATGTGCCTCACTATCTTGCCTTGGATCTCCAATATGATGTGGGAGCTTTATCGTGAGGGTTGTGAGCCGAGAGGAATGACAGCCATATTGCAGCGGTTCTGTTCTGCATACAGAAGCGCCTGATTAGTCTTTCTTGCTTGGCATATCGATCGAACTGCATCACTGTGGATATGCGCGCCTGCTTTTGCCCATAGCCCGAGCTTCGAAAACGTGTTCACGATGTACAGCGTATACAAAGACATTTGATATGATACACTGTTTTGTCAAGTTTCCACAAACTCGGATGAAACAGCACGGGGATGGCGGTTTAGCAATATATAGTGGCTATACAGTTATTGGACACACTTCAACCAAGGACTACGGCAAAATATCAACTGGACAATGATGTCGATCGATAGCTGATTAAAAAACGAGTTGATCCAGTATGTTCGACCAAAATGAGCATTCTGAGACCTGTGGTAACAATATCGAGAAAAAGAATCTTGCGCGAAAGATAACCTCCAACATGATTCAGATGGCCAATGAAGATTGGAAAGCAAAATACAACTTTATTTTGACTACCGAAGACTGGCCTGGGCACGAGAGTAAGGCACAGAGGAGAAAGTTGTTTAATAGGCTCCGAATAAGTCATCTACGGCGTGCGCAGAATCGTGGAATCACAAAAGCTCGAAATTAGCACCAGAAGTCTTTCATTGAACCGTTGACTGAGGGTCTCGTTGCCCAACCCATGTACCACCAGAATATTTTTGATTAATTCTCCCGGTAAGTCGAATCAGAAAGATGTGACAATCCAGGAAGCAAAACTGTTCGTGTGGCACCGTAAGTCGCTTTCAAACAGTTGACCAGCCCTACATAGTTCTCTCTCGAGCTGTCTTCACATGTTCAAAGTGCATGATCCTCACAACGCACAAATCAGAAATGAGCACCAATCTTTACTATAATAATAATAATAATAGTACAAAACTCTGGCACAATCACTCCGTGCTTACTTCACAGCTCGTAGACCTTCCGAACCAGCAGCGCACTATGTTTCTTTTCAGACCCTCACCTCCTTGAGACGCCGAGCAATGAAATCCGCAACAGCTTTTCTGCCTTCCGCTCTGAACATGGTATCATTGTGAAAAGCACTTTCAACAGCCTTCTTTTCAACGGGAAATCCAACCTCAATACACCTATCGTACAATCTACGGCTGAGCTCTGCGGGAACGAGCTCGTCTTTGGCCGCTTCTAGTATTAGTATATGGGGCGAGTTTCTGGACTCTCGGCATTTTTCAGCTATAACGCCAATGTTCCGCCAGCTATCAAGGTGGTTTCGCAGAAATGGCCATAGGTATTTGTATGGCAACCATTTCTGCGGGTAGAGCACTCCAAGCATGTCACGTATGGACGTAAAAGGAGTCTCCAAAATCAACGCATCAAGGCATAAACCTTTGGGCATGGAATAGCCGGCGGCTAGATTTGTGGCAACACCAGAGCCAATACTTTGACCCCAAAGAAGGACCCGAGCCTCCTGGAACTTGTTCAAGTCGGATAGTGCCTTATGATGCTGAGCAATCCACTCTAAGGCTGCATGGGCATCAAGCCTAATTCCATTCTCTGTGGGACGGCCCCTGGATTTCCAGTAGCCTCTGTAGCTTAAACAGATAACAGTGACCCGAATTTTCCTTGGGTCTCCATACATGTACCGCTTTAGGACAGACAGAGCTGATGATATATCAGGCAGCCGTGGGGGAATAGAAGCAGCATTGCCTATAAGCCAAACATGAGTACTCTCGTGCACACGCTGTCAACATTGGATTGGAAAGGGGATTAGCATCCGCACCCTGAAAGTAAAGTATATAGTAATGGATGTCTGGAGGCTGTGGAGTTGGAAGCTCATAGGTTCGCCCGATGTTAATATCAGCAGTGCACAGGGCCAAATTCGTGCCATCAGCTGCCCGAACACGTTCTTCCAGCCACCGAATCCCAACACACCGAGTTTCATAATCCTCGATCTTCTCCCATCGCGCACTCGGTGGCAGGCCTGGCATGTAGATGATTTTGTTTTGGAATATGACGAGCATGAAGCATTTCCAAGTCCACATTGCTACAAACAAGCCACCAAAGAGAGCGGGGGCAAGGGCTAATCCCTGCAGGCGAAAGCTTCTGGTTTGGCAATCTGCTGCGGGTGTCACGATGCGCGATGGCGTGGAGGCTCGTATGTGGATGGGCTTAACCCGCAACAAGGCGGGGCCAGCGTGACGGAAGCGCAACATCCTAAATGGATTGGAACATGGTTGATGATAAAACACGTAGGCAGGTTTCGTGCGGGCTTGGAGTGTATGGATAAGATGGTAGATGGCGCCAGTCTCCTTTGGATTTTATTTTTATTTTTATTTTTCTTTTCAACGTTAACTGACAGTCGTTTAGCAACTATTGTTCTTGTCGAAACATAAACAGAAGGAGCCTTGCGCTAGACCCTTTTTTCTCCGCTTCTATCCTAGGATAGCATGGGATATGACATAACCAAAGGCAAAATGCGTTGGTAAGTTGGTAGTAGAGTTTCTGACAGGTGCGAAGAGAGACCAGTCCAGGCCAGTGGAATGAGACCAAAGAGAGCCACTGTCCATACAGCAGATATGCAAGTTATAGTGCAGCTGCGGGACGTGACAGAACGTTGGAATTGGTGGAGTCTTCCAGGGTTCCAGTCTGTTTTTGGGGGGAGGCTTGCCGAGAAAATACGGCAACCCCGCCATCGACTTATTACGTGCTGCTGGAATGCAGTGGGACCTCGCTCGTCACACCCTGGAAATTCTCTAATGGCAACCCATGGAGAACGAAACCTACACCCCGCGATTAGCAGATGAATCATTTCAGTTTCCACCAGAAGTAAAAATACGCTTCTCTTAAGTCGCGTGCTCCTACATCCTGGCGATCCACGTGCTGTTCCTAACTTCGAACCTACCAAAACCGGAAGCCCGCAAGTCATACTGCAGCCTGTTCAACAACACACTCCCCACGTCTCACTTGCATCCGCCATCATGCCTGGCCAAGTCCCCGCCGATACTGACGCTGGGCAGGAGTCTCCAGCTCGACACATCGAACTGGTGGAGGACGAAGCTCATTCCGAGCGCGCCGATGGACACCTGAGCCCAACTTTGACCGATAGCAAAGGATGGGACGGCAAGCTGCGAGTTGATCGCAACCCCTTGCTGCAACTGCAGAACCCTGAAGCGCTGTCGGATCCGGAGTATTCTGACGACGAGAACGTATTACCCGGCGAGGAGATTTCGGCCGATGAAGGTGAGCTCCTACACTCAGTATCTATCATGCAGCTGAGGCTCGCTATTTTTTCGTCATTTTCTAATCAGAGCATGTGTTCTTAAAGATATCCTAGACGATGAAGACCCCGAGACAGAAGACATAACCTTAACACATTCGCGCATTGCCGACATCTCCGCCCTGCGTCTTGATCGGTTCAAACATGTTATTCGTCTTTGCCTCCGTCAAAATCTGGTTCAGAATATCGAAGGCCTGGCATCCCTTGGGCCCACGTTAAAGGAGCTGGACCTTTACGACAACTTAATTTCGCACGTTCGCGGGCTGGAGGACTTGACGAAACTTACGACACTTGATCTCAGTTTCAATAAAATCAAGCACATCAAACACATCGACCATCTCACAGAGCTGACTGACCTATTCTTTGTCTCCAACAAGATCAGCAAGATCGAGGGTCTGGAAACATTGGTCAACCTTCGTCAGGTGGAGTTGGGCTCCAATCGTATTCGAGAAATCAAGAATCTAGATGCGTTGAAGAACTTGGAAGAGCTCTGGCTCGCGAAGAACAAAATTACCCAACTCGGTGGACTTTCTGAACTATCCAAGCTGAGACTCTTAAGTATTCAGTCAAACCGGATTAAAGACCTTTCTCCCCTACGTCAAGTGCCCCAGCTTGAGGAACTTTACATCTCACATAACGCACTGGAGAACCTGGAAGGGCTTGACGGTAACCCCAAGCTTC